ACATTTCCCAAAGCAATAGTATTATCAACTGCTTGAGTCTAGCCTGTGAATGACAAACAACAACGGAGCAAACACGTCATGAATTTCACATAATATGAATAACAAAAAATGAACACATTTTACATTAAAATCAAAGAAATGATGAAAACATATCTACCCATAAGTGGTGCTATTCTCCCTTTAGCCCTTTTCATCTAAAAAGGGGGATGGTTAAATTCCAAAGCAACATACCTAGGAGAAAACTATAAAACTAAATAATAGCATCATTTCTATGGCAACAAGGATGGCAGTAGATACCTGGAAAGATTTTAAAGTTGCCTGCCCTCTCAAGCAAGTCAAAGAGTCCAGATGCATTTAATTTTATAACACTTTTTATATTTGTCCATATGTGCATATGGACATACACATGTCACTGTACATATAGGGTGTCCAGAGAGCATCTTTCAGAATCAATTCTTCTTCCATGCAAAGATCAAACTCATGTAGTCAAGCTTAATGGAAAGCACCTTTACCCAATGAGCAATCTTGCTGGACCGCATTCAATTTTTGACTACACTAAGCTGTCAGAAGGAATACTACCAAAAGAAGAGAGAAGTGATGTATTTGAAATCTATAAATTGTATTTCATGTTCATTTGTCACCTCTAGGAAAAGCAAATAGAGTTTCGTCCTCCTTCTGAAGTGGATGAATGATTGCTTAGAGCTGGATCGCAGAAGCCTGTGCTCGGTTATTGACTTCCTATGGAAAACAATTCATCCACAGATGCAGTCAGTGCCATGTCTGCATGCCCCTCAAGGCATAGGTAAATGGGTGCTAATCACCACAGTCCATCTGAACAGAGAGTAATTATTCCTGTTCAAAGCAATCGCTTCCTCTTTTCTTCACCTTGCTCCTGTTCAAGCGGAGCAGCGGAGGAGGAATGAATTCCCAGGGCTGCAGGGACCCAGTGCTTTGCTCACTGGAAGGCACACACTAAGCGATTCAGTCCCTCATCTGTGGATTCATTAGCTGTTCACTACTATGGCTTTGTCTCAAGCAGACTCCATTCCCTAGAAAGCTACTCTGAAGAGTGTGAAAAAATAGGAGTTATGCCTTTTACAAAGTTGTCTTGAAAACCTGCTAGTTATCTCCTTACCCAGAATGAAGGTTAAGGATAGAAAAATGTCATTCATTCATAGTCACATGAGGAAGGTAGAGAGCCATCTTGAGCTAGTTAAAAACAAGAGAAAGATTGCTGAGTGGATAAATTGCTTGCTGCACAGGCATGAGGATCTGAGTTCAGATCCCTAGTACTCACCTTAAAAGATGGATTCAGCCATGTGCAACTGCAGTCACAGCACAGGAAGGTGATGATATGAGGATCCCAGGGTCTTGCAGGCCATCCCAGCTGACCTAATTGGTCAACTCCAGGTTCAATGTAAGATACTGCCTGACGAAAATAAGGTAGAGAACAATAGATGAAGACAATCAACGTTGTCCTTTGGCCTCTAAGCATGCACAAACACACACCACCACCATCACAACCATCACCACGTAAATAAATGAATCTAGATAGATAAATAAATAAGCTGTTAACAGATAAATTATAAGATAAATAAGTAAAAATGAGAAATGAATGAAATCTGATATTTTGAAAAATTGTTCATTAGGTTGAATTTAACTGTGTTGAAAAAAAAATACATTTGGATCTCTTCCTGGAGAAGACATAACTTATTTACAGATTGTCAAAATTGCCTATGTCCAAAGACTGACTTATTTATTATGTATTTCTCCATGTCTGTTAAAACTTTTCTGGGTAGATCTTGCTAAATTATTTAGTTACTTATTATTTTACTTATTTTTTGTAATTGACAAAATAGGAAGACAAACCTCAGTTCCTTTGAGGAACAATTATGAAAGAATTCAAGACTGAAATAACAAGATTTCCTTAGTCATGTAGCTTCTCATTAAGGATGTACTACATTCCAACCACTACACTAACTACAGCCTAATTAATTTGAAGGTTATGATTAATGAATTAAAATACATTGTTCATGGTTTTGTGTGTCAAAATTGTGCACTGGCTTTTATGCTTTCAATCCCACTGCAAAATTACATAGGATATAATGTTAAATACAAATACAATCAGTCACCATGTTGTGACATGGATCAAAAATAAAAAAGACAAATATATACGTAAAAAGTTGTTAGCGTGATTTATTTTAAAAAAAAAATAGGTAAACAAAGATAGCGCTATACTGATCTAACTTGTTTGTTCTGAGGAGATTTGTGTAGAAACTAGCCTGTGTGGTCCAGGCTTGTTAGGCTTTCAGGGGAAAGAAACACCTACCCTCCTAATGTTTCCAGCATGCAAATTACCATGTATAAGGTGTCCAGTGAACACCACATGGAGAAGATGAGGGTTTGATCTGTTTATTTTTTATTTTGTAGGGACAAAACCAAGAACTCCAGTCCCTAGTAATTTTATTTACGTGATAACAAATATCCATGTGTTAAAAATTATTGGAAATATTTCAGTCTCTTTCTAATGTTCCAGAGGCTACAACATAATTTTAAACAGTCTGATGAATATAGAGTATGCGTGCATACTGAACTAGTTTCAGTAAACTATAAATAAAAATTGCTTTGATTGGGGGGTATGGTGTATTCTTAATTTGGATTCCTTTTATTTACATGTCATGAGAAGCAGGTTGTGAAATGCAGAGAGAGTGCGTTCTAGTTAACTGAGAACAAGGAAATCAGAAGTGGGGGAGCATCACCTGGCTTGAGACCACTGACGACTATAAAGCAGGGCCTCTTTATAATATCATGAAAACTACTTTTTGGCAGTCGGATAAGAGGTAGTTACACTTTATTGTTGATTGTATTTAGGCACACAAGGCAGCATGATCATTTGATGGCATATTTGTGTTCTGAAATATGATGGCCTTTTTTATGTCCCAATAAACATGAAATCACCTGGAAATATTTCTGTCCATTTAGGAACTGTCTAAATGTTATTGTTTAATGCATGCACTAGATTTTAATGAAGCCACGTGAGTTTGTTCTTAGCAAAATATGTCCCCCTGTCAGTCATCAAATGGGGATGCTGTCTGTTTGGTGAACATGAGGTAGACAAACTCATAACTTCTTCAGAATTTAGGACAGCAGGCAGCACTTCACACTATGTGGGAGACAATTCAGTTCTGCATATGTTTCCTGTCTTTTTCTCTTCTCTGGAATCAACCCTTTTGTCTCCTTCAAGAAGAGGAAGTTAGAAAAATGACAAAGATCCTTAAGTTCATTTTAAGAACTTAAGAACCTTAAGTTTCTGAATAACAGAAGCAGAATCTGACAAGAGCTTCCAAATTGGGAGGGACTCTGTGTTTGCCTAGTATACTGCGCTTATATAGCATGACTCTATGTATTCCCTCTGTGTCTCTTTCTTTCTCCTTTCCTTCCCCTTTCCTCTTCTTTCTCTTCCTCCTCCTTCCTTTTCCTCCCTCTTTTCCTTGCTTACTGCTAAATCCAAGCTGCAATGATCTCTTATCACATACCCATACATTGAGCATATCTTTCATACTGAACCAACTAATAGAGCAGCAATTAATAAGTCAGTAGGGAAAAAGTCAATGGGTTGCATTAAGGAAGGCTGTCTGCAAATGTTAGGCACACACATTGATGGAGCCAAGGAGACCTATAGAGAGTAGGGAATGAGACACTTCATCACATATTCCTAGAGGCAGAAATTGAGAGAAAACAAGCAGTTCTCAAGGCAGCTCATCCATCTTTCTTCGATTGTGGTTATTCGGAATGTTCTAGCCAAGGGTTGGCATCCCACTGAGATTGCAAAACAAGCACCTGAAGCTATGAGTTTCCACAGATTTATAGCCCATGGGTGAAGGATGGAAACAGTACATCCTGCTATGCTTTCGATGGAGCTTGCATTCATGTCTTCGTAAACTATTTTAAATGTATTTCTAAGTCTATATTACTGCTTTTAAACCCATCCCTTCCTCCTTTTCTCCTTCTCTCCTTCTTTCCTCCTCCTTGTATCCTTCCTTTTCATTCATTCACACATTCATTCATTCATTCACTCATCAGTCAGACATTTGTTGAGTGTGTAATATAGGCTAAGCTTAGTCCAGCTACTAAGAATAGACTTGTGAGTAAAAGCATGCACTGACTCTCAAAAACCTTATGTTGAAATAGAAGGGACATAGAAAGAAGAAAATAAATGAATGCATAACATAGTAGGTGAGAAAATGAAAAAGATGACAGTGGAGTTAAAATCTACATACTAATACTCAAGAAAAAGTTCATGGGCCCACATTTTGACACAACACTCATAGACTCAAGCTAAAGGAAGAGTGACAATGTATTGTTGGTATGAAACTGGAGTGTGAACAGAACGAAAAGAATGCTCGTAAGTCTTCCTTTCCTACACATAAAGCAATCAGAGTGGCATTTTTATTTCCTCCAGATGGAGTGTGACCAAGGACATTATGAGGAAGAGCTAGGGTTAAGGGGATAGTAGGAAATGATTCAGGTTGACAAAGTAACTTTGTAGCTGGAAGCATGGGGAAGCGGAAGCAGGCCAATGTGCCTACTGCCAAGCCCTATATAGTTCAATACTCAGACCCATGCGATAGAATGAAATAACCAAACCTGCAAGTTGTCTATCGAACTGCACATATATGATCTAGCACATGCATGGATGCACATAAACAAATACAATTTTCATTTATTAGAAAAATGAATAACTCGTCAAAAAAAGGACACAGTTTCGCCCAAGAGTCCTATACAGGGGAGAGAGTACCATCTTCTGGTTTTCTCTCCCTCTCCACGATCGTCAAATGGTACAAATGGTTTTGTGGTGTTGTCTGGGTTAGGAGAGTCAGCACTGCAGAGTGCAGGTACTTCTCTGGCTAAGCGCCCTCCCTCTACCTTTTGAGCTTCTTGTGTCAACGTGATAGTTTGGTGCCATGTACCATGACTTGTTCTCTGTGGCTTTCCTGCAGATTATGCTGCTCACAGACCCGGAGATTGAGAGCAGCTTATTGATCAGCTCAGACGAAGGGGCAACCTACCAAAAGTACCGGCTGAACTTCTACATCCAGAGTTTGCTCTTCCATCCGAAGCAAGAAGACTGGATTCTGGCCTACAGTCAAGACCAAAAGGTGAGCTCACTTACCTTGCTCCACATGGTGGCACATCGCTGCCAGGAAAAAGGCCACTGGTTACTCACCTGCGAGTTTTATCTCAATGATTGTTTTTTCCCTGTGTAGCTGCCTGAGTACCAATGAGAACATCTCAGGTTGCTTGCTGTAACTATGTAAAAATATGAGAAAACATACAAAAGAAAGTTGAGATATCAAGAGAGAAAGTGTAGAGAGATAGTATGTAGCTTGGATGCAGTGATGCTCAGCCTTGCATCAAATACTGAACTAATGTACTTACGATGTAATGATATTTGTCTTAGTTCATACCACTGAAGGTTCCAGTTCATCCTGAGTGACCTTTGCTTTGGGCTTCTAGAGAGCTAGCACAGGATAGTGAGTCATAGGCAAACTCTGCCCTATCAGCCTGGGCACAAATGCAAGAGTCAGGCTTGTCCAGGATAACACAGATTCTTCAGGAGCTAGGTAGCCTAAGGACATCTTAAAGTCCTACAGCACCTGGGGAGAAACCTTCTAGTTCATGGAACATAGTTAGCCTTTAGCATCTGAATTGTAATAGATGCTGAGGGACTTAGGGGACACTGTCTTTCATGGAATCTGAGGCTGATTCATGAGTGTTCATAGATGATCATTTTGCTTGGTTCAAGACCTATTCATTTGCCTAGACCCTCAAAGAGAAGTTATTTTACTGAGGTTTAAAAATGGTAAAGGGTAACTTTTAAAAAGTGAGAGGACTGTTCAGTATCATCTTAAGACTTTTGTATTACATATTTTCTTCCCTTGGTGGCAGAATGGAAGGAGTAGCCTGCCTCTCCTAAAGCATTAAAGTTGTGCTACACACATGCGCTCATTTCTGTGCATATGCCCCATAACTGTTCCACTAGAGCTCATTCATTTTCTACTATTTATATTGTGTATGCGTTTTATAAATAAATTGTCTTTGCTTTTAAGGAACTTACCCTGTAATGTAGAGTGTAAGGTTAGGTATGGCAAGTGAAACTAAAATAGAAAAAAAAAAAAAGATAAAAAACATAGGCACACATGAGAGAAACTTGAACCAGTAAAGTTTAAAGGGCAAACAGGTGAGAGAGTGGCATGCCCTTCATGCAGTCATTCAACAAGGTCACTCTCAGAATCTTCCTAAGAGAAATGCAGTTTAGACATTACATGTGCGTAAAGAAATGTTGGGCTTTTGTGAGTTGGAGGAGATAGTAAATGTTCTAGTTATGTTGTCAACTCGACACAAGCTAGAGTCACCTAGGAAAAAAGACTCTCAGTTGAGGCATTGCCCAGCTTATACTGGCCTGTGTCTGTGAGAGATTTTCATGATTGTGGATTGAAGTGGAGGAGCCCGTCCCACTGTGGACACTGCTGTCCTTGGGTAGAGTGGGCCTGATCCGTGTAAGAAAGCTAGCTGAGCATGAGCCAGTGAGTGAGCCAAAAGGTAAGCTAGCAGGCAGTGTTCCTCTCTGCTTTGACTTCCTTTAGTGATGGATTGTGACCTGGAAGTGGAAGCCTAATAAATACATTCTTCCTCAGGTTTTTTTTTTTTTTTCCAGAAAGAAAACTAGAACACCAAGACTTTCTCTGTCTAAGTTGGTCTCAATGTGTGTAGTTCTCCCTGAAGGCACAGGAAGGCTGTAGGCAAATTCCCAAGGTCTCTAGTGACACTGGCATTTTGAAGCAAGCAAATTAACATCACAGGGTTGGAGTTCTATTCATGCTGTTCTCACTGCCAAGTCAAATGCACATTAAGCCTAAAAATAGGAAAGGTTTACCATTAGGAGTGCTTTTTTTTTCCTCTAGAGCAGCCTGGCTACCCTTTAACAGAATGTACAGTTTTTCTCTTTGAGCCGAGCTGCAGTGTGTTTGAGGCAATTAACAGGTAAAGACTGAGGTGCCCAGAGCAAAGGGTGTCGATCATTTAATCCACGGTTACTGTATTTTATTCAGCGGTGTATTAATGTCCCCTGCGATGCCAGAGGCACAGCAAAGGGCGGCGTCACCTAGCTAAGTAAACTAAATACCTTCACAGTCGTTCTGGAGGAGATAGCCCTTGACGTCCCAGCCCTTCATGCTTCCTATGTTCATTATGGCAAGCAAATAGCCCTGGAGGAGTGAGGACACCTGGCCTGTGGTTCCAACTCAGCCACTTATAGTGAACAGTATTTGGTGCTGTTTTTAAATGAAATTTTTGCCTTACATAGGTTTTGTATAGCTGTTTTTTTGAAGATTCACTTTCCATGTGATTGAAAACAATATTAGACTCCCCATCTTTCTAGGTTGAAATGTTGGCTTGAAGAAAATGATATCCAGGAGCTGTAAATTTATACAGACTCAGGAGATTAGTAGCTATGAGTTCAAGGACAAATCTAACAAGTCTAAAAAGACAGGGCACTCTGTGATGCACAAGAAAATGTAGGTGCTAGTGCATACATTATATGAACTTAATAACCGAAGTTCAGATGATAAAAGTTTAGTGACCTTTTGGCCTATAACCTCTGGAGGTTATAAGAAATTACTCCAGTAGAACAAAATTATGACAGATTTCTGCTGGTCAGGAGCTAACATGCTTTCCTCTTAAACAAAGAAAGAAGAATCTCATAAGTAATTATATAACGTTAGAATATTCATGTTCACAGGGTAGAATTTTTTGTCAAAAGCAGAGGGTTCGGTAAACTTTACTGCTAGGTGCACAGACTTGTGAAACCTGATCTTAGTTTTTGTGGATTGGCCTCTAATGGGCAATCGTGGGTTTTGTTTCCTTAGTTTAAAGACTTTGAAAAGTTGGGTCAGGACTGATATATTCTGAGCCATGATTTCTGCGGTCAAGCAGTATAAATGTATGGATGAGTTGGGGTTATGTGAGGGTTCGAACCAAAGGTTCATTTGATGAGCACAGACTTGATGAACACTGTGCTTTCAGAGTTTGAAGAATCCTAATCAACATTTGTTCTGTATGATGCGAGGAATTCAAAATTTGATAATTCAACAATTGTTATCATAGGCAGAATTGAGTGACTGTCCTTTGTTGATGTTGTATAAACAACAGAACAAGAGATCTTTGTTACAGTATATCGCCACTTTAACTTTTGATGGTGATATTTTGAAGTGAGCACATGAACAGAATCGGTCTTTTTATCTCTGTCTCTGGTTTCTCAAGAGAGAATCAAGGATCAATCATCTATGTGGTGGAACTGGACAACCTGCTCATTTGTGTAGAGAACGGAAAGGACTTACGTCAAGGTGTGAGGAACAGTGCATTATCTGGAGGGTAGTGGTCTGCTGCCATCAGAGAAGCTATGGTACTCTCAGGAGTTAAGGCGAGAGGGCTTCTGAACCAGCAGGTGGGGTCAATGATGCTGGCAGGAGAGCTCTGGCAATCATGTACAGACCACGGAATTTTTAGAACTGATAAGACTCAGCTCTGGACACCAAGGAGAGCTTGGTGTTGGCACTGGTTGGCCAGCATCTGCGATTTTTAGGAAAGAGGAACATTTGTTCTTGTGTATAAGTATTGTTCATCAGTTTTTCTCCGTGACAGCTGCTAGTGCTGCTGTTGCCAAGCTCTCAGCTAAGATCTTAGCCCCAGAGTGAGCTTTCCATCTGCTGGATACAGTTTCACGTCAAACTCAGGCAGACATGAAGGACTGATTCTTATAAAACACTGCGATGAGGTGCCCACCCATCCCATCTAAAGAGCGCCATCCTCGCCTCCCCTCTTCCTTCACTTCCTGTCTTCTCTGTACTTCGGGGCATATTTCTTCTAAACATACAGGACTTTTGTTTTTCTCTGACATTGATTTTTTTCCCCTCTGCTTCAAGAATGGGACTTTTAAGGCTCTGAGAAGATAATCTGGATCCTTAGTCTGGAAAGAGCCCATACTGTCTGAGATGCCTCTTTCTGCTTCATACTGCGTGACAAACACCTTGTGGTGGCCTTTGATATGAGCATTAGCAGGCTTCTGTTGGCCACATTTTTCCTTCTGGATCACAGTAAAGTTTTACTGGCCACCAGTTCAGTAGAATTTTTAAACAAATAAGTAACTGATAGTTAATCTTGGAGAAAATTTTATGCCCAAATGTCTTCCTCAGACTTAAGAGGATTATAGTGTTTTTGTGGTTTAGTATTTTTTTTTCCTTAGAGAGTAAAATCTACTAAGGATATTTCAGCTCAAAAGAAACAGCAAATTCATATACCAGAGCCCTCAAATGTTGTTATTATATTCATCCACACTAGGGGGTTGGGGCAAATTTCTAACAGAAGATTTGAGACTGAAAGTCAGGTCTCCAGCAGCCCCCAAAAGTAGGCTCACTATCTGGTTCCTAACATACCAATTAAAGACAAAAGTAACTGTGGAAAACAGAGTAGAGGGAAAGACATTTTCAATGGAACCAAACTGGTAGGAGAACCAAATAAATGGGTTCGGTGACCCCAAATCCACATTTTAAGTGCTGATAGTGACTTTAGGTTTACATAGAAAAATTAGGACCACAGGTAGGAGATATCAGAGTTAAGCATAGTCAAGGTGTGGGCTGGTTGATCACTGTCTCGGTTTGATTCAGCAGGGTGGTCACAAAAGCCCTTAGTAGTATTGTCACGGGGATCAGTGTGGCTCTCAAGATGTCACTTCTGATCTGTGTTGTAGTCTCATCATTGAGAGGAAGCTGTCTGTCCTTTCAGGTTTTGCTGTTCCTGGAATCCTAAGTGACTACAGGTTTGGAATGCTAATTAGACAAACGCTCCTTGAGTGATTACCATGCCTGTGTGCAGAAGGGAACAGGTAATCCAAAGTAGAGGAGAGATACAGAATGAAGGCAAAGATGCCAGAGCCATTTTGCTTTGCTTAGTCAATGGGACCAAGTGAAAAATCAATGTTGTTTTATTATTATTGTCCTATATCCTATTTTTTTTACTTATTTATGTTTGTGTATGTATGAATGTGTGCATGGGAGTGTGTGTGTGTGTGTGTGTGTGTGTGTGTGTGTGGCGCGCGTGC